GATTTAACCCCCGGTAATCGATGCAGGGGCGTAAGGTCTTATCCTTCTTCTCAACAAAGAAAAACCCTGCTCCGAGGGGTGAGGATGACGGGCGAATAATGCCTGCATTTAAAGAGTCATTAATGTATTTCTCCATGGCCCCCTGTTCAGACTGGGATAATTTGTAAAGACGGGCCGATGGCAGCGGAGCCCCTGGTAGAAGATCTATGGAACAGTCATAAGGCCGGTGGGGAGGAAGACAGAGAGCCAGATCCTTACTAAAAACCCGATTTAGGTCATGGTACTCAGAGGGTACCAGGGACAGATCAGGGGGGACCTCAGGACAGAACGGGGCGGCCGAAGAACGAGGAAGAGCTGACTGAAGACATGAAGCCAGGCAACTGGAGCTCCAGGTCTCTATTCTGGATTCTCTCCAATTAATATGGGGATTGTGAGCTAACAACCAAGGGTAACCAAGGACTACAGGTGAGTGTTTGGTGGGAAAAACAAAAAAGGAAATGGATTCATGGTGATTACCAGAAGTTATAAACTGAAAAGGAAGTGTCTGTTGGGTAATAGTAGCTAAAGGACTGCCATCTAAAGCTGCAACAGAAATGGGAGACGGTAACGTGCGAACTGGGATCTGAAAACGATTAACCAAAGTGGGATCTATTAAATTCTGCTCAGAGCCCGAGTCCACTAAGGCAGAAACAGGGTGGCGAGAGTCCTGAAGGTAAATAACGGCCTTTAACTGAAACCTAGGACTGGGGTCTTCAATACACGCGCCCGCCAGTATCCCCAGAGTTACTGGCGGACCTGGTCTTTTGGGCGGAGGGGACACGACAAACGGAAATGACCGGTACCGCCGCAGTAAAGGCAAAGTTGGCCCCTTATGCGCTTATCCCGCTCCTCAGCTGACAGGTGGGCTCTACCTATCTGCATGGGCTCCTCGGTGGGCTGGCTAAGGATGGGCCGGGCTTGGGAAGGCACGGGAGGAGCTGAGGGGGAAGAACGTTGTACCGGAGGCTGTTCGTGACTCCGCCTCTCACGAACCCTCTCCCTGAGTCGCTCGTCTACCCGAATAGCGAGGTCGATTAAATCCTCAAGACTCTCGGGTTTGTCACGGCTGGCTAGCTCGTCCTTTAATCTTTCTGACAGAGCATTGAGGAACACAGCTTTTAAAGCGCGGTAGTCCCAGCCAGCTTGAGCTGCCAAAGTGCGGAAGTCGACTGTAAAGTCGGCAACCGATCGACTTCCCTGTTTGAGCGACCATAATTTCTTAGCCGCCTCCTCCTCCCCCATGGAGGAGGCGAACGTTCTTTTGAAGCGATCCAGAAAATCGGCATAGCTGTAATCGAGGATCGTTTCCTCATCAATAAAAGACTCAGCCCATTTTAAGGCTCTGTCTCGGAAAAGACCAATTAAATAGGAGATCTTGTGGGAGTCGTCAGGAAAAGACCGAGGTGAACGACTGAAAACTAGAGAGCATTGTAAAAGGAATCCCCTGGACTTACTCAGATCTCCAGTGAACGGTTCGGGGGCCGGAGTGGAAACCCCCACGTCGGGCGCAGATGA